GCCGCCAATGAATGCAATCTGACCGGCAATAATCAGCTATAACAATTCATGGTTTGTGCCGGTGGACAATTTACAGCAACACAACATTTCCAAGCCTCCTTCTTCCGCGAAAACTCAGTCTTCTTCATCTCCACAGTGACATCACCCCTGGACCAATAGACCACAACCTGCAGGCGTGCGAGGATCAGGCAATACCCCTACCACATGACATGACATGGCCTTGTAGTGCTGTAGCGCTGGGACACGAGACATGAGGCGATCTTTTGTCTCTTGGTCTGGCAGCAGATTTAAGTATGCAATGCAAGGTGTGTGAACAGCCCCTGTGCATGCTGACACACAAACGAACACATCAAACACCTGCCTACTTCGTGGTTCTCTGCTGCGCTTGATCCCCTAGATTTCTTGGACTTTGTTGCTCGCTCTTTCGGTGCTGCTCTCTTTTTTGGTGACGCCTTTGCCTTTGCCTTTGCCTTCCCTGCTGGTCCGGTTGGAACTGTTTGGTTCTTGCCCTTCCTCCCTTTCCCTTTCCCTTTCCCCCCCTTGCCAGCTGCAGGAGGGTCTTGCTCTGCTGTCCCAGACCCAGAAGGCTCGAGCTCCTCGTCATTGGCTGTTTCCAGCTGTGCTGCATGCTTGCCCCGACCCTTACCCTTGCCCTTGTTCGGCTTCTGTGCTCGAGCTTTGGCTTTTGCAGCAGCACGCCTACAGCTCAATTGAGGTTACGTTCAGCTGTGCATGCAGACATTAACGCTAGCTAGCTACTTTTCTAAAATGCAGTCATAGTTCAATGCAATTTGCTCTTTGAGAATGTCTTCACACACTTTGATGTCATTCACGTGTGGGCATACTGCAGATAAGACTTCTGTCAAGTTAGGCGGATGTGCCACCAAAGGTTGCCTGCTGTCGTGAGAAAGAATTGTTGCAGCAAAACATGTTTAAACTTCAAAGATGTATATTATCATCGCACTATATAGTTGGTCCCTATTTACTATGTATGCACGCACATGTTTCTATGCTCATACATGGCATCGCACAGTGCCTAGGCTGCTTCTTTGCTTCACCCTGTACACGTGCGAGGCCCAAGAAAAAACACTTCAAGACACATCAGAGTTGATTTGTTGTGCATAAACATCAACCATGCATCCAGCATGAGATCAACTCATATCAACTCAATAGCCTTACAAACAAAATCCACACCTCAACCCTGCCCACACCTCTTGATTTCCATCATCACCAACAGGTTGATCCATAGATGCATCCTGAAAGCAACGCGTCGTCGATCATCGATTTCATCGATAGGTGTTGGACACCAACCCATCTAAACAATAAGCGGAGTGAACAAGCGAGTGTATGAACCAGAATGTTTTTGCACACTCAGCACCCACTTGTAGCCAGGCCTGCAGTTCCCTTTGCTCTCCCAACTCGTCGCGCTCACCAAGGTTGGCCTGATGCGGCGCGGCTGCCATAGCATGTGGGGAACCTTAGGACTTTGGACTACTGTGGTCATATAAGTTTGGGCCCAACACTGGTCTACCTATTCTACAGCTGTTTCAGAATTTGCAGCGCCTCCACAACTTCCATAGCTGGCCGGTCTTGTTCACGTTCTCCAGGACCGTCCTGCAAATTGAGTCGTATAGTTTTTGTGACGAGTTGAGTGCAAGTGCACTGCATTTCAAGGTTCAAGGATGGCTCCTCCACCGGGTGGTTTTCCAGCATTGCATTTTCATGGGGCACCAGGACCTGCAACACAATTATCTTGCAGATTGTTGGGCACAATTCAAGGATCCGAAAGCAGTCCAAACCTTGTTATGGGCTGGATGTCTTGTGGGCTCATGATCACCTTCATGACCATTGTGCACCTGCGCCAATGCATACATGACCCACAAAGTTGAGCAACACCCACAAACCTCAGGGGCAAGATGTCTTGCAGGCTCATGATCACCTTCCTGACCAGGATGCATTTGCGCCAATGCATACATGACCCACAAAGTTTTGCAACACCCACAAACCTCCTCAGGGGCTAGATGTCTTGCAGGCCCATGATCACCTTCTTGACCAGGATGCGCCTGCGCCAATGCATACATGACCCACAAAGTCTTGCAACACTGCCTCATCTGCAGTCGCCCATGGTTGAGTGTCTATTACTATATATTAGTATTCGATTTTGTGAACTTGAAGCCTGCACCCACACCCCCCCGCAGGGACTGCCTCAGCTTGCGTAGCTTCCAACACATCAGATTGTTGTGGTACATCTGGAAGTGCCTGTGAGGCTATGTGCAAATGAGTCCAAAACCTGGCGCTGAATAGTTCTTACAGGCACCTCCTCAACTGATTGTGATTGGGCTGCTCCATGCAACTCTGCAGGCCCCCCAGCTTCCTCCGATGGAGCACCTCCACGAACCCCTGTATGTACCTGTCCAAATCCCATGACCACACAACTACAACCTACAGATGATCTAGATAATTCGGCTGAGGTGACTCTGCAGGAAGGCATGAGCTTCCACAGGAATTCGAACAAAGATGCACAAGGTCCCAAATTTCTATACTTACACGCATCATGTCGTTTGAATTCCTGTGGAAGCTCACACCTGGCTATATGGCAGTCTTGCAGGACTGGAAACGCGCGTTGCGGCGGGCCTGATCGCCAGGTTTGGGCTGACACCATCTCTTCAAAGTTGTTTTCGGGTATTGAGGCTGTGGGGGCCAATCCATAGCAAGAGTATCCATTTGGTCCATGTGTGACCCTGTCGATGGTAAACTCAAACTCGACTCTCCGTGTTCTGCCGGCTGATCAGCTGTAGTGCATTCAGCCTCAACAACAGCAGTAGCTGGAGCAGGGCCCCCCTCAATACCTGTCGGCTCAGCTGGAGCAGGTGCCCCCCCACTGTCGTTGGGAAGTGATGCCTCTGTGGCCTGAGTGGCCTGTTCCGGAGCAGGCTCTTCCTCAGGGTACTTGATGTTTAGGATGTCCTTGAGCTGCTGGATTTTTTCCGACCTGATAGAATAGATCAGTGGAGATGGGGCAAAATGTCTTAGATGTGCACTTGAATACAATAAAGCAAAATTACATGCAATGTTATATCGATTTCAACCCAAAAGCTTGGATCTGCCCCTTGACTTCCTCCAAAGCCGGATCAAATAGGTGCAGTGGCAACGAAGGACGTTCGCCTGATACTCTGCCCATGCTTGCACATTCTTCTGAAGCGCACCCTCCCCATGTAAGAGGAGAAGTTGGTCAAGGTAGAGAAAGGCAGCCTTTGTTCATGGTTGTCAGTTGGGAGTTTCAGAGAAACCATTTGGGAAACATGATCATTGATCAAACACAATATGAAACCAATTATGGCAGCCCAAGAACTTGAAATTTGGATGCTACAGGGAGCACTACCCCAAATTGGGCAACGATCATCGCAACAGGGTCGTACAGGGTCACAACCGACTCTTCGGTAGGATCTGGAGAAGCTGTTCCAACAAGACTACAGCTCGGATCCTTCCGCAGATTTGCTGCCCCAATGTGCTTGCCCCATTCCTCAATCAAGCACTTGAGGAAATCCAACCTTAGATCCAAATACCATTCAACTTCCATCCAATCAGATTCAAGCCTAGTAACTAGCGCCCACAAAACTTTTGACCTAGGAGCTCATCGATCCCCATCTCCTCCCCTGCTGACATGTTCGCAGGATCCGGACCAAGCAATGCGCGTTACCAACTGATGTGATGCTGGCTGCGGACAAAGAGACACAAAGTGGTGTGTGGTGCAACTCTCCCAAACAACAAACATCAACAAACTTTGCTGTTCACGCGTGATATGTATATATATATATGGTTCTTCAGCATAGTCGTTTATATACAAACTAGGTTTGACATGACGTCCACTCTCCAAACACAAAGGGGCAGGCACCTTGATGCTGCTTTTGGTGAAGCCACAGAGCATAGGCACGTTTCATGGGCGATTTTGATGCACCTTTGTGCACCCATGGTTAGACTCATGTAAGTTGTTGTGTCATGATTGTGCTAAAAACATGTTCAAACCTTGGGAGTTGACGTTGGGTTTGTGGAACAGCATGCCATGTCACAAAGATTGAGCCAAACCCCTAGGCGGTTCCAGGAACCAACCCTGGTTACCTCGGAGGCTGGTAACCAGCCCGGTTCCGGACATACAGGTAACTGGAAGGCTAGGGCTACCGGTGATTGCTCTCACCCACCTGGAGTGATGAGAACAATGACGGGGGTGGTTGGATGAGTATCAATCCAACGATCCAGGCTCCTGAGAAGTGAGGGCATGGGACGAGACGAGACAGTTGGATGTTTGGATCCTGCCCGGGAGTGAGGTGATGTTTGTGAAGCTTTCCCCACGATTTCGAGGAGTAAATCCTGCTTGGTGCTCAAAACCTGGGTGGGCGCAGACTCTCCTGGCCCCGGACCCCAACTATGATCAACTCCAATAAATTGAATGCCTTGACCTCTTGGGGAACCAGTGGAGTTCGTGAACCGACATATGTTCGGGCCGGGCCTCGTAGCGGGGAAGACACCGGGAGTTCGGTCAAAAGCGGCCGAAGCCGTTCGGTCGAGCGAGGAGCGCCAAGCCCCGCGGTAGAGCGATGAAGTCAAAAACCCACGGGGTTCATCCATGGCCTACCCTGGAGTTTGGTGTGACTCCATGACGAAAAAACCTTCAAAACGGATCACGTTTTGGGACACCCAAACAAGCAACAGGTGGAGGAGTTCCTTCGGTACACCGGGTTTGATGCTTTGATGCGTGGAGTTCCAGCCTCGGGGTCGAACAGGCATCTTCCAACGAAGACACTATACCAGTCGCATGGAGGGCCTGGGTGGTTTGGCTCGTCCCATCTAGTGAGTTGATGTGACGACGGGGCACCTGCGACCTGCGCGAGCGACCTGCGACTCCTGGTGTCATTGTTTGGTGTGGAAAACTGGATCACTTGATCGGAACATCTCTTGAGAACACCCAGCTGTCTTAGCCATCGTCCATGCTTCAAGCGCAGATGGCTTCATGGCGAAGCTACGAAGCTCCTGGAGCAGCTAGGCTCCAAGAGGAAAGACTTAAGCCCTGGATGGGGCGGACGGGGATAGGGGATATTCTGACCCTAACAATCATGTGCCGACTAATTGGGGTGATATGTTTGGACAGAGTCCATGTCCATGCATCATATACGTCAATAGTCCGTGATTACATGGATGGTCTGGGTCATATCGGCTTGAGATCCGTTCTTACCTGGAGGGGCCATATTATCATATATTCGAGAGAAGTCAAAGACCATTCTTAAAATGGTTGATCTGGTATTTTGTAGCGTAAAACATGTAAAACCCTTACTACTTATAGTAGAGCCATTAAACGAATGGTGGTTCGACTTCTAGGGTACATATCCTGCGGCTTGAAATCTTTAGAGCACCTGTCGAAACATGGACGAGACAATAAACCCTTGCAGCTCATAGGATTAAAGGTAGTTGCATATTATGAACTGAGGACGTTCACCTGGCTGGGCACCGGACGTAGTACGGCAGGGTGTTTCACTCTCTCGAAGCTCTTGGGGGAAGTCCGTCCCAGAATGCATCGAGGCCTCGGCACATGAACCCGTCTCCATTCCGAACGGTTTTGTGGTAATGGACATGTGTTTTCTATATCAATTTGGATGGGATGCTATTCAATTACCCAAAAAGACTTCAATTTGGAGTCTCATGAGTAGAGCCAGTAGTGGCGTGCAGATGAGATCTTGATATAGTGGTCGTGTGGTGATTGTGGTGGCGGCAGCAGCAGTCGTATAGTAGAAGGAGTACAGTAACAGTAGTATAGTAGTAGTAGTAGTAGTAGTAGTAGTAGTAGTAGTAGTAGTAGTA